TCACCTCTACAAACCGGTGACCGACCAGTCCAATCGATATTGTTGTGGTCATCTCGGCACGTGACCGAAACACTTCCAACGAGTAAGTAGTGTTTTCTACATGAAAACTGACAGGTACTTCCTAGCGCTGATCCATTAGAACACAGAACGAATCCTTGATCTGGAGGCCTTAATGGTGGACATTGCTTGACTGAAAAGAATTAGTTATACAATAAGAATCGTGTTCTGCTCGTGATTAAACGAAACAAGAAATGGAATTATTTTATTTTTAATAAATTTAAAAACGCATAATTATATCCATACTTATTACCAACAAATCTGCCAGGAAAGTACTTTTTGTTTCTTATTTTAGTTAACTAATACATTATTTTTTTATATATATAATAGCAATGAACGTTAAATGTTTCGAAATGCATGCAAAATAACATTTTAGGTAGACTTTTGGTTGTCATAGGCCAGTCCAGCCACGACTTCTGGTGTTGTACGAAAGACCTCCTCTTTTGTCAGTGACAAACGTTAGATCCAAAATGTTACTTTTACACTCCGTTGATTCGAAGTCCATTGCTAGCTAACTAAAATTAATGCGGAAAAAGAAACAAACGTCAGCAGTAGCGTAATTAGTTATCAAAAATATTAATCCCTCATTAGTCATCATTGATTCGTTAGCTTTGGGCAGTCAACACTGTAATGATAAAGTTTGAAGATATCTCAGTTTAGCACTTGGTTTTCTTCACTTTGGATTAGCATATGAAACGTGTTTGTTCATACTAGATGACACATCAAACAACCTAAGCCATGCTGTCTCCTATGGCTATAAACACTAAAAGTTCCTTTGAATAATATCATCAATTTATCTGCGCTGATGGAGCATAGATGAAAAACTGTAGATCTCGGTTGGCTACTATACAGCAATTGTTTGCTAGTAATAACTAACAGCCTTTATGTTACATTCTTTCAACCCTAGTTAAAGTTAGTGTCAAACATTCTTTCGCTTTGAAAGAGTACAAAGATGTCTATATGAAAAGTGAAACATTGCCCATGAACAGTAAAAAAGTGTTTACGAAGGAATACGATAGTGGCTAACAATATGTGTCAATTGTCTACGAAAAAGTACAAAGTGTGTATAAAGGAGAAAAAAATGGCTATGAAGAAATTAAAAATGTCTGCGAAGGAGTGGAAAACGTCTATATGAATGAGACTGTAGTGTTTCTGAAGGATTAAAAAACGGTTCTATATGAAGGAGTAAATAAGGTTTACAAAGAATTGTAATGTAGCTATGAGGGAGTAAAAAAGTCTAAGAATGAGTAAAAAAGTCTATGGAGAAGTAAAAAATGTTTAATGTAATGTAAAGTAAAAAATGTAACAAATGTCTATGAACGAGTAAAAAATGTCTATGGAGGAGTAAAAAATGTTTATGAAAGAGTAAAATGTTCATACACAGAACTTACATCATGTTCTCTCTCTCTCTCGTTTTATTCTTTCCACTTTCTGACCACAACTATCAGTTTTGTACCACCTATTCTTTTCACTTTCTGACCACAACTATCGATCTCGTACCGTCTAGTTTTACAACTTTCTGATAACAATTTTGTGATGTCGAATCGTGCAACTTTTTCACCATAATTATAAGTTTTAGGCAGACTAGTTTTGACACATCCTGACCACAACTATCACTTTTGTACCGTCTAGTCCAACCACTTCTTGATCATAAGTAGCTTAATCGTAATTAGGTTTGTACAGTCTAGTCCATCCATTTATTGACCAAAACTACAGCTTTGTATAGACTACTCCTGCTATTTATTGACAAAAACTACAGGTTTGTATAGACTACTCCTGTTATTTATTGACCAAAACTACAGGTTTGTACAGTCTAGTCCATCCATTTATTGACCAAAACTACAGCTTTGTATAGACTACTCCTGCTATTTATTGACAAATACTACAGGTTTGTATAGACTACTCCTGTTATTTATTGACCAAAACTACAGGTTTGTACAGTCTAGTACTACCATTTATTGACCAAAATTACAGGTTTGTACAGTACAGTCCTGCTATTTACTGACCGTAACTAGATTTTTACAGTCTAGTCCTTCCATTTCTTGACCATAACTACCGGTTTTGTACAGTCTAGTCCATCCATTTGACCAAAACAACAGGTTTTGTACAGTCTAGTCCATCCATTTGTTGACCATAACTACCGGTTTTGTACAGCCTAGTCCATCCATTTGACCAAAACAACAGGTTTTGTACAGTCTAGTCCATCCATTTGACCAAAACAACAGGTTTTGTACAGTCTAGTCCATCCATTTCTTGACCATAACTACACGTTTT